CTTTCTTGTAAATGGATTCCCTGCCAATATACTATTTGATTCGGGAGCAAACTACTCCTTTGTATCATATAAATTTGGTGGAAGACTAGCATTACCTGTAGATAAACTTGATAATGATCTAGTTGTGGAAGTTGCCAGTGGCAAATTCATACCTGTTAGCGACTATATTAAAAAACATCATCATCGAACTGAATGGAAACGAATTCCACGAAGAGCTGTTACCCATTGAGCTGAATGGTTTCGACATCGTGCTGGGAATGGATTGGCTTAGCGCCAATGATGCCGAGATACTATGCAGGAAGAAGATAGTAAGGGTAAAACCACCTGGAAAATAGTCATTTATGGTGTACGGGGAAAAACGCAGAGTGAACTCTGGAATAATTTCCCTAATGAAAGCCAGAAAATGTTTGTCCAAAGGATGCACATCATACTTGGCATTTGTGATCGATGCTAAGAAGGAGAAGAAGGAAGTGCAAAGCATATCGTTCGTATGTGATTATCCGGAAGTCTTTCCCGAAGATCTTCCCGGATTACCACCTGATAGACAAGTAGAGGTTTGGATAGACTTGTTACCAGGAACGACACTAATAGCGAAAGCACCAAACCGATTAGCACCGACGAAGATGAAGTAGCTTATGTCGCAACTTTAGGAGTTGTTGGATAATGGTTTCATTAGACCTAGTTCATCACCCTGGGGAGCTCTGGTGTTATTCGTGAAGAAGAAAGATGGAAGCATGAGGATGTGCATAGATTACAGAGAGCTGAACAAGGCAACGGTAAAGAACAAATACCCATTGCCAAGGATTGATGACCTATTCGATCAGCTGCAAGGTTCAACCTTCTTCTCAAATATCGATCTTAGGTTAGGATATCATCAGCTGAAGGTAAGAGAGTATGATATAGAGAAAACTGCGTTGAAAACGAGATATGGACACTATGAGTTCTTGGTCATGTCGTTTGGACTAACCAATGCTCCAGCAACATTCATGGATTTGATGAACAGGGTTTGTAAACCATTCCTTGATAAATTTGTGATAGTGTTCATAGATGACATTCGGATTTACTCAGAAAGCCAGGATGAGCATGGCAGACACTTGAGAGAAGTGTTAGAAGTCTTGAAGAAGGAGAAGTTGTATGCAAAGTTCTCCAAATGCGACTTTTGGATTTGAGAAGTCCAATTCTTGGGTCATGTGGTTAAACAAGAAGGGATAATGGTTGACCCAACAAAGATTGGAGCTGTGATGAAGTGGGAACGACTGAAAAGTCCCACAGAGATTCGAAGCTTTCTGGAATTAGCATGTTATTACCGAACGTTTATCCAAGGCTTTTCTTTGATAGCTGCCCCATTGACAGCTTTGACCCACAAAGAGGCTACTTATACTTGGAGTGAAAAACATGAAGAAGCATTCGAGAAGCTAAAAAAAGAAATTATGTGAAGCACCGATTCTTTCTCTTCCCAACGGAGTTGAAGACTTCACAGTTTATAGAGATGCGTCTGGAGTTGTGTTGGGTTGTGTTCTGACCCAAAGAGAAAAGGTGATAGCATATGCATCTTGACAGTTGAAAGAGCATGAAAAGAACTACCCCACTCACGATTTGGAGTTGGCAGTGGTAGTTTTCGCTCTAAAGATATGGAGGCATTATCTTTATGGCATGAAGTGCAATTTTCACTGATCATAAGAGTCTCCAGTATCTCTTTAATCAGAAGGAATTGAATATGAGACAACGACGCTGGCTAGAATTACTCAAGGACTATGACTGTGAGATACTTTACCACCCTGGTAAAGCCAACGTTGTCGCTGATGCTCTCAGTCGGAAAGTAAATCTTGAAAGAAAAAGGCCAAGAGCATTGAGAATGGAAGTTGTCTCGACGATTGTGGAAAGCATCAAGAAAACTCAAGAAGAAGCTTCAGAGAAAAATGACCGAAAGGAAGAACGTTTGGGCAAAAAGTTAGTGTTTGGTACAAACAGTCAAGGACTAAAGGTATTCCAAGATCGAATTTGGGTACCTAAGACAGGAGGGGTAAGAGATCTTCTGATTGAAGAAGCTCACAATATCATGTACTCAATTCACCCTGGTAGCACTAAAATGTATAAGGATCTGAAACCCTACTACTGGTGGCCGACGATGAAGCTTGATGTTGCAAAGTATGTGGCCAAGTGTGTGACATGTGCAAGAGTTAAGGCACAACATCATAAACCATATGGGAGTTTAGAATCTTTACATGTACCCATGGGTAGATGAGAAGACATCACTATGGATTTTGTGACTAAACTGCCCAGGACAAAGAACGGTCACGACATGATTTGGGTGGTCATGGATCGGTTCAAACGATTATATCAGATCGTGATAGTCGTTTCACGTCAAGGTTTTGGAGGAGTCTACAATAGGAATTGGGTATGAACTTGTGTTTGAGTACAGCTTACCATCCGCAGACTGATGGTCAGAGAGAAAGAATGATTCAAGCACTGGAAGATATGCTGAGAGCATGTACCCTGGAATTCCAAGGTAACTGGGATGAGCACTTACCTCTGGTAGAGTTTTCCGACAATAACAGTTTCCACTCGAGCATCAAGATGGCACCCTATCAAGCTTTGTATGGACAGAAGTGTTGTACGCCGTCTTGTTGGCTTGAGTCGGGAGAAAAGCAGTTTATGAGGCCCAAGATGGTCGATCAGACTGCTGAAAAGCTGAAGGTGATCAAGGAAAGAATGTTAGCGACTCAGGATCATCAAAAGAGCTATGCTGACAGAAAGCGACGGTCGATGACATTCGAAGTTGGAGATTCGGTTTTGCTTAAAGTTTCACCATGGAAGGGACTTATAAGATTTGGGAAACGAGGAAAGCTGAGTTCAAGGTTTATTGGGCCGTTCAAAGTTCTTCAGAGGATTGGGAACCAAGCTTACAAGCTAGAATTGCCCGAAGAACTAGATGGTATTCATAACACTTTCCACGTGTGTTATTTGAGAAAATTCACAGGAGACATTCCCGACATAATTCCAATTTCAGAGTTAAGAATGGATGAGAATAAGAGGCTAATCGAAGAGCCCGAGGCAATCGTTGACCATAAGACTAAGAAGTTACGATGCAAGATGGTCGACTTAGTGCTTGTCCGATGGAAACATACGAATGGGCCAAATCTCACCTGGGAAACAGAGAGTGATATGATGAGTCGCTATCCACATATATTTGCTGATGCATGATTTCAGTACGGAATCATCCTAAGAGGGAGAGAATTGTAACGCCCGTGTTTCTGGGCTAACCGTAGTATAGTGATGTAATAGTCAGGGTCAACCAATGTAACCTATTTTGAAGTAATAAAGAGGAATTATGTGAATATTATGTGAATTATGTGCTTATTTACTTTTTATAATGATATAATAAATAAATGATAAAATAAGCATAAAAAATAAAGTGTTAGATAAACCCTATATCAATAAAGAAAGTTGTACTGGTCGTGACAAGGATTCTGGATATATAAAGAACGCCGAAATCCGAGTTATAACGAAGAAGTTATGGTCTGTCGAAGTTTCGCGACAGAACCGGCACGACACTATGTGACGTAAATAGTGAATTTGAGATAAAGTGATTTTTAGCCTTAGCAATCTAAACGAAAGTCGTAGTGTTCGTTAAACCGAGAGTGTCCATGAAAAGAATGCCCAAATCTGAATGAGTAAGTTATGATTTTTCTAAGTTTCGGCTTAGCAATATGCAGCCTAGAGTTTCAATATTAGATCGGGCGATTTTTGGCCGACACAACCTAAACGAGAATCAAAGATCTCGTTAAAAGTAGCATAATGGTAAAAACACAGACGAAAACGGACGTTGGATGAAGAAGTTATGGATTTTAACGGACTTTTCTGTCCCGGCATGTTAAAAATATAACTTTAAAAATAAAGTCAAAATTAGCCGATGGAATCTAAATGAAAGTTGTAGAGTACGGTCCCACCTAGGTGTGGATGTAAAGAACGTCGAAAACGGAGCTCGTATGCGAAAGTCACAAATTTTAGAAGTCGGGAGGCAGATCTGTGAAACTGATGACGTGGCATGATCTCAGTCGCTGCTTGCATCCCACGGTCTCGCACCCGATGCCGACACATGTCACCTCGGACGCCCAACGTAGCCGAGGAACGCCCAACGTTCGAGTATGCTTTGCGTACCGAGGCTCGTACGCCCAGCGAACTAGCCTTCTGCGGTCTGAGGCCTGCCACGATGATCCATCCGAAGACCGACACGTGTTGTATGACTTCGCCATTATGCCCAGCGTACTTCGGACTACGCCCAACATAGTGCGAAGCCTCACACCTATATATAGAGGTGCGAGGGAAGCCGACAATCTCACACCTATAACCCTCTCTTTCTCTCTCTAATATCTCTCTAGCCTACCTTAACCCCCCTAAAGCCTAGGATACCCCCTAGCACCTGAAGGAAGCCCCGAAGCTCCCGAAGGCTCCGAGAAAAGAGCTTTTCGGATTGGAAACGCTGCTTCAGCAGAGCCCGATTTTTAATAAAATTCTCCTGTAAGTGAGCTACGCCTACCTAATTTGAAATATAGCTTTTATTTAATTAAAGTAATAATATTAAGACCTTATAATAAATATTTGGGCTATTATTATGAGTTATATAAGTGTCGTTATAATATCTTTTAACCACTCGCGGTACGGGGAATCTGGTTTGAAGGGCTGTCTGGGTTGTTGGATTCAGAATTGCTATATGCCAAAATGATCTTACCCTCCGGTGTTTCATGTCTGGCCCCTGTGTGTACATAGTGGTTGAGAAGTATTGTTTAGCGCTTATATAATAGTAATAATGCTTAGACTATTAATTAGTCTCGGTGAAACACATTTCTTCGGAAATGTTTTGATAAATATTTATCATATTTTATTTTGGGAATAAATTCCGCAACACTTTTATTTAAAATGTTACTCTGATTTTCAAACAAAGCATAAACAAATCGGTCTTTTCTGGCCGTGAAAATGGGGATGTCACAGTATTCGCCATGCTTCACGGACTGGAAGGTGTTCCGGAATCCAGCTCAATTTTGAAACAAGAGGGAGAAGGTGTGAATCAATCTAAGAAGGAAAACCCCAAACCTTCGGTCATGCCCACTATTAAGCCAAAAAGCAAAAATGAACCGAAAGGCAAAGTGAAGTTGTTCAATGAAGAACCAATAGTTGATAACAGCGAAGATGAAGAGCCTGACGAACACGAGTTGAAAATAATAATAGACCGTGAAGCTCAGATGGATGAGCACCAAAGAATCTTTTGCGGGGCTGAAGTGAAAGAAAATGTCAAACGCGAAGCTCAGGCCACGCTAGAAAGTCGAAAGCACTTGTTTCTAGTATGGACCTTGAAGCAAATCCTGAGTGAAGTTGTTGATATGCCGAGTCAATATTGGTTGGAACCAGTTGTGTCATTTGATCTTCAGAATACACAAGATTCGCAGCTGGACCTTCCGATGACTTCGAAAGCCTTCAGGTTTCGCAGCTTTGTGAAAGTTGCGAATGTCCCAGCAACAGACAGTGGTGCAGAGCACTTGCTTTTCTCGTTCTACCTGAAGCATATGAAGTCGTAGTATGAGACTTGGAGTGCAAGAAAAATTACGGCTGTGAAGGTTACTGGTCCACATGAAACCGATAGCTTCCCAAATGCAAAATTCAAGGTTGCTAGAGGTTCAACGAGTCAGATACATGAGCTTACTCTTTCCGATCTTCCATGCCTGAATCCATATGATTGGATCATGTTGTACAACTTATTTATAAGGGATGGACAGAAATATGAGCCCATTGTTGCTCACCCTAAGCAGATGATAATTTCATAAATTCATGAGGTTGGTCAAATGGATGTTGAGATTGTTGCAGTGCTGCGAAGGAATCCAAGTGTACTCCCCAAAGATAACCCTGATGGTTTCGATAAAATGAAACTTGGGAAGATACAAAAGGACAGATGGTGTGTAGCTTTTGAATTGAAGGAGCGAACTGATGCAGACTTTCACAAAGTTTGTTTCTTTCTCGACGACAAACACCTATTCTCCACTTCGTGCCTGGAGTATATATTGGACTTCGTCAACAAGCACAAGGGTAGCATCAAAGGTGACAAGAAGTGCTTTTTGGATATGATTCAATGATTTATCCAAGTTCTTAAGGTTCTGTTGGGCATAATTCCGAAAGTGTTTGAAGTGTAGAAGTGAACTCAGCAGTGAAAGACTCTCGCCTCAATCGACTCAAAGGGGGAGATTATTGAGTATTTAAGTGTTGCGTCTTTTGGGCCTTTTAATTAGTCTTTTTGTGTAATCGGGTTGGGCCTGTCCACCCATGTTTAATTATTAGGGTTTTACTATTTAAGGTGCATGCATGCATCGTGTAAATGTAAATCATGTCATTGTAAACCCTACACACCTCTACAGTAGCAATTCTTTATCGAGCTCTTATGAGGCTGTGATTTATAATCATTCGACACATTCTTGATTCATATTCTATCTTTGATTGCTTATACTTGTTTGAATCTAATCGATCATTAGAGTTTTAAACTCATGCGCAAGTCTTTGGGGCATGTTCGTTTCCAATGCCCCTTTTCATGGCAATAGAAGCACGTTGCTACTTTTGGATCTGAGGAGGGAGGGGCAGAACTGGTTTTTCCTTTGGATCCACTTGAAGAAGATCCATCATGAGACTTTCCCATCCAGTTCTTTGAGGGAGCTTTCCTCTTTTTCCCTTTTGCATGTTCAATAGCCAATACTGGGGCAGCAGCAGGAGTGGATTCAACACATTTTCCTTCCAATCCACTTTCAACAGTTCTTAATAAGCCTTGAAGTTTTCTCAAGGTGACTTCCTCTTTGCTCAGATGATAAGTCATCTTGAACTGATCATATCAAGGAGGCAATAAGTGTAAGACTATATCAATAGCCAGCTCTTCATCAAAGTTCACATTAAGCTTGAGCAACCGATCGACATATCTTTGCATCCTTTGTAGGTGGGTCATGATGGACTCTCCATCCTTCATCTTGGTTGTTATGAATGAGGTGACTATCTCATACCTCTCTTGACACACTCTTTTATGGTACCTTTTCATCAACTCCTAGCACATCTCGTAAGGCCAATAGTCCTCATAGAACCGCTGCAACTCAGGAGTCATAGTAGCCACCATAATACACGACACCTTGGTCGCGTCCTTTTCATGAGCCTTATACTCAGCTATTTCTTCAGGAGTAGCTTTGGATTCACCTATCACTTTTAGCTCTTTGTCGAGGACGTATTCATTTTCCTCATATCGAAAGGCCATTCAAATGTTACGAATCCAATCATTGAAATTGGACCCATCAAAAGTGACCCTAGCACAAATGTTCAAAAGAGAAAAGGAGCTCGAGGAGTAGTTGTTGGAGGAGTTCGATCCAGAAGCGTTGTTTGAGCCAGACATCAAAAAAAGAAGAACAGGTTTTGATTATATAGGAAATCCTCAATATATCACCCAAATGAAATATTAAGGCTAGGATGCAACACGATAATTCACAATTCAGAAAAGGGATGTCGTAATCCAATTGTAAATTATTTGAAGGTAGGTAATGTTGGATTAATGTCTAAGTCCATAACTATATTTGGTATGTACTTGACCCGACCCGAGATGGTCCATTTGGGTTGCACTTCACCGGCACAAGTGTGTGAAAATAAGAGTGGGCCGATTTTAGTGTGCATACATATTCTCTCAAGTTCTTCCAAGGTGTTTTGGTGATTTGTGATTACATTTGAGGCTTCCACACTATTGGGGCTAAGCTCTTAAAGCTTGAAGACATCAAGCTACATCAAAAGGTATGTCATATAACTAGAACTTTGTAGTATAGGTGCTTCATAATATGCTAGTTAGGATGAAACCTTGGAATAGTTAATATTTGCATGTATAATAGAGAAAACATAGATCCAAGGTTTATAGGGTTGCATGTACACCATAGGAGTGTTAGAATGCTCAAAACCCAACAGGTAAATGACGATTTACCAATTTCACCACGAAAACGAAATTTAAAAGAATTAGGTTTTTGAATTGAAATTCCTAGATCTTTTGAGATTCATTGAACTATTCAATGGCATGTTTAATCTCGATTATGCCCTTCAGATTTGTGACTGGGATACCGAGGATCACAAATAAGGTCTGAATAACCATGCAAATTAGCGTGGTACTCTCGATGTCATTTACCACCTACTCAATATGTCGGTAAACCACACATGCTCCATTGATCAATAGTAATTGACGAGTTGCCCATCACCACCCTTGTTATGTCACAACTCGAAATTTTAGACCTAGCAAGCCTAACCCTCACCTAGCACAAGTAAACGTACATTGAACTCCTTGTTGAAATGTTCCTCTATGGTCTTTGGGGCTTTCTTATAAGCTAAATAACTAAATGTGGATTGAAACCTAAGTTAATTTAGGTTAGTATAATGTGATATAGATCAAAAGTGAAGGGTTTAAAACATACATTATCACCATTAAATGATGAATTCAGTCATAGAATTAAACCAAAACCCTAAATTCGGTTTTAGGAATCTTTTCAAATGGTGTGTTCGGCCATGAAATCCAACCAAAGGAGAATTCGGTCTTAGCATGACCGAATTCATGATGTGAGGCCTATTTGGACCGAATTCCTTACGGCCCATGGACTCTTATGACCGATTTTCCCAACTCATATATATATATATATATATATATATATATATATATATATATATATATATATATATATATATATATATATATATATATATATATATATATATATGTTCAACCGAACACCCAATTCATTTCCCACGATTTCCACTGAATTCCCACCTTATTTACTCTCAAAACTCATTAGTGGACCTTCATATCTTTATAAAACCTTGCCCAGATCTTCATAATTCACCAAGAACACACACTCATATCTTCAAATCTTCAACCTTTGACCGAAAACAAACAAACCCCCACCGAAAACTCCATTTTTTCCACCGAATTCATCCCTAGACATTTCCAAGTATTATTGTAAGTATTTCTTAAATACTTAAGTGTTGTTTAACACTTTAATTAATTATACTATATATTTAAATTAATATCTTATTAATTTAAATGCAATGTCGGGTATAAATAATCTTAGGATACGACTGTTGTCACGTATTCTAACCCGAGGATCGTTCGCAAAGACTTCGAATCCGGTCAAGCACACGCACTAGAGGTGAGTTCATGCCCCTACATTTTGACCAGATTTTCTTGTTTTTAAGGAGGGGGATACAAGTACAACAAAATACATTTTTACGCAACATTTCTGCGTTAACAACAATGATTTCGAATCTATTTCATATTGTCTTGGATCATACCAACATATTTTAAACAATAACTGATCCTTGTTTTACTAAGACATACTTTATACAAGTACAACTCTTTCAACCTTTGTAACATGCAGAGCAAAGGAACTTTTACAAGTACTTTTATTACAAAGGGATCATACACTTATAAACTATAGTAGGTATAGTTTATGGAACACATACATCATCAATACATAAAACACAGACACAAAGCGAACGAACAAATAAACTATAATTGGTATAGTTTATGGAACATAAGAACTATCTTACAAGATACTGGATTCATTTTAACGAAACATACATATAAACTATATAGGATATAGTTTATGGATCATACAAACAGTTAGTCAAATACAAAGGATTTTCATTTATTCTACATGTAATCATCAGTATAGAATTTTGTGAGTGAGCATCTTCGCGTACTTATCTAAGTACCAACAAAAGTCCTGAGATTATAACCACAGTCTCTTGGAGGGAGAGCGTGAGTTTGTGTATACATCTATACAGGATTGACAACACCGCACACCAATTGTTAGCTACAATTAGGCTGGTAGGCCGGGGTGAGAAACATCATTTCGATTCCGACGCCTGAAAAACGTCGTTCAGGCCATTAATGGTCAAATATGGTTATAACAACTCACAAATTTGGTAGTAACAATACGATTAATGTATGAATGGTAAACAACTTCACTTAGTTTTATTATATATAAAACTACAACAATGTATTTTTATAGAACATCTGGTGTATACAGGAAATTACAAACTACAAAGTCTTTATCCATATACAAACACAATATACTATTTTCTAGTACAAAACATACTTTTCCAAAGGAACATTTAACTAGGTGCATACTGATGGGTTTGATCCAAAAGAACATCCTATGTGTTCATGCAAACCCTAATGCTTGGATCTAAGTTTCTCTAATTGTACATGCATTCATCCAAGACTTTCAAACCCTAGATCTAGTAAGTATAATTCGAAATTATCATTACAAAACATATCTATATGATTACCTCTTGTTACTTGCTTGATTCTTCTTGTTCTTAGAGCTTAGAGTCACATGTGTCACTCCTCTAATGGCTTACAAACACCAATAGCAAAAGAATGATCTTGAAGAGAGGTTGGAGGGTCTTCGAATTCGGCTCTTGCACTCTTTTAAGAAGGGTTAGCCGATTTCTGTAGCCTAGGGGTTCTATTTATATTAGAGCTGCTAGGGTTTCAGTCAAACCCTAATGGACTGCTTAG